AGGTTGGCAGTTCAAATTCACCAGCTGCTCCTCAGAAACTCTATATGGTCTTTGTGAGTTGGAACTGACTCAACAGCACTTAACAACAACAACTACAAGAACTTAACTAACAAGTACAACGACAAATAGCAAGCCCAGTTGTTTAATGAATATGTGAAAATCATCTACCTGTCATTTAAATTGCAGTGGAATTTGAACAACCAAATAATTTCATGATTTCATTGCCATGCTAGCTTCTAAGGAATATTCTGGCTCTAATTCTTCCAACACAGATTTGTTTGTTCTTCTGGGAGACCGTGGTACTTTCAATACTCTTCTCAACACCATTAATTCAAATGCACTGATTTTTCTATTGTCTTCCTTATTCACTGTTCAACTTTCATATGCATATGTGGTGATTGAAAATACCAACACTTGAGTCTTTAAACTGATCTCTTTGTTCTTTAGTACTTTAAAGAAGTCTTGCAGTGGATTTGTCTAATGCAATACATCGTTTGACTTCTTGACTACTGCTTCCCCAAGTATTGATGGTGGATACAAACAAAATGAAGGCTTAGGCAATTTCAACCTATTCTCCATTTATCATGATATATTCATTGGTCCAGTTGTAAAGGATTTTTATTTTCTTTACCTTAAGGTTGCAATTCATACTGAAGATTGTCATCTTTGATCTTCATCAGTAAATATTTTAAATTCTGAACAGTACATTGACAGGAAGCCAGAAATTCAAGCTTTCAGAATAAAAGTTATATCATCTACACATCACAGGTCATTCATGAATCTCCCACCAATCCTCATACCACAGTCTTCTTAAAATCCAGATTCTAGGATTATTTGCTCAGCATATAGATTGATTAATATGGTGAAAGGATACAAAACTTGCATGCACTTTTCCTGATATTAAATTATTCAGTATTCCCTTGTTCTGTCCTTACAACTGCCCTTTGGAATATGTGCAGGTTCCTCATAAGCACAATTAAATGTTCTGGAATATTCATTCTTTGCAATGTTATTGATTCATTGTCATGATCCACAAAGTCAAACGCCTTTGCATAGTCAATAAAGTACAAGTAAAACATCTTTCTGGAATTCTCTGCTTTCAGCCAAGATTCATCTGATATCAGCAATGATTCCATATCCATTCAGAATGAGCTTAAAATTCTGGCAGTTCCTTATCAATGTACTGTTCAGCTATATTCTAATTGTTTTCAGCAGAATTTTACCTGCATGTAATAGTAATGATATTGTTCTATTATTTTTGCATTCTATCAAATCATCTCTTTGGAATGGGCACAAATATGGATTTCTTCCAGTCAGTTGGCCAGATAACTGTCTTTCAAATTGCTTGGCATAGATGAGTGAGCACCTCCACTGTTGCATCAGTTTGCTGAAATATTTCAATTTGTATTTCATCAATTTCCAGAATATTTTTTTTCCCCAATGCCTTCAGTGCACTATGGACTTCTTCCTTCAGTACAACTGGTTCTTGATCATATACTATCTCTTAAAGAGGTTGAACATCAAACATTTATTCATGACTATGTATTCCTTCCATCTTCTTTTGATGCTTTCTGCACCATTCAATACTTTCCCATTGTTGTTGTTGTTATTCCGTGCGGTTGAATCGATTCCAGCCCATAGTGACCTTGCATAGGGTTTCCGAGGAGCAGCTGGTAAGCTTGAACTTCAGACCTTGCAGTTCAAACCGACTTTGCTGTCAGCGCATCAACCAACAGCACCTCAAGGCGAGGCTTGATTTTTTTTTCTTCAATTCTTTCAGCTTGAGAAATACTAAGCTTGCTTTTCCCTTTTGGTTTTCTAACCCCAGATCTTTGTACATTTCATTATAATATTTCACTTTGTCTTATTGAGATGACCTTTGGAATTTGTTGTTTAGCTCTTTTACTTCCTCATTTCTTCCATTCATTCTAGTGTCTCTTCACTCAAGATCAAGTTTCAGAGTCTCTTCTGACATCCATTTTGGTCTTTGCTTTCTTTATTGTCTTCTTAATGATCTTTTCCTTTCTTCCTATGTGATGTTCTGGATGTCATCCCATAACTGTTCTGGTCTTCAGTCATTAGTGTCCAATGCATCAATTGAGATGGTGGTATATATTCAAAGTCATATTTTGGCTCTTGTAGACTTGTTTTAATTTTCTTCAGACCATCATAAGGGTAATTGATGGTCTGTTCTACATTCTGTACTAGCCTTGTTCTGGCTAATAATATATATATTGAGCTTTTCTACCATTAATAGTGGTATTATATCAGTTAATGATAGTATTAGACCAGCTTACAGTAATAGCAGCTGGTTTTCCTTGTAAGTGTATGGCTATTGTCCAATCACAGACAGCATTGTACTTCAAAATAGATCTTGAACTGTTCTTTTTGACAAGAAATATGACACCATTCCTCTTGAGTTTGTCATTACCAGCATAGTAAGCTATATGATTGCCAGATTCAAAATGGACAATACCAGTTCATCTTAACTCACTTATGTCTAGGCTATATAGATCTTCATGCTTTCCATTTCAGTTTTTACTAAGTCCAGTTTTTCTAGATTCATACTTTGTACATTTCATCTTCTGATTATTAATGGATGTTTGCAGCTGACTTTCCTCATTTCGTGATGTACCCTAACAACAAATTACGATACTAAAAATTTTGCTCTATTCACACTACTATTGCCAATTCTACTTTGAGGAGGCAACTCTTCTCTGGTCATAGTCTGAGTGCCTTCCAACCTGAAAGGCTCACATTTCAGCACTATATCTGACAGCATTCTTCTTCTAGTCTTATGTTTTCATCTTTTGACACTATATTTGACAATATTCCACTGCTATTCATAAGGTTTGCAGTGGTTAGTCATTCAGAAGTTGTCTCCCTCTCCTTCATCCTAATCTGTCTTCATCTGGAAACTTCTTCAAAAGCTGTCCAACATGGGTAACCCCGTGGGTATTTAAAATTCTGGGGCATAGCTTCCAGCATCGCAACAACATACAAGCCATCACAGTTCAACAAACTGACAATTGGTGGGCCTTATAGCCTCAGAGATCTTTTAAAAAGTGTTGAGTAGGACAGAAAAATGTTGAAGCCATGAGTCGGAATAGATTCAAGGATAAAATACATATGAGTTTTTTTTTAAATCTTCCTCACAAGCAGTCATCACTTATTTCCCACTTCAGCATTCAACAGGGATTCAGCAACAATTTCCAAACACAACAAATGATTTCCACCGTGTTCCTTCCCTACCCTCCTGGAACTTATGGGCCTAATAGTCAGTCCCACTCCTTCTACAACACAAATGAACACACACATACCTGTTGGTCTTGTGGTTCCATGTAGTTTCTTCCACAAAAGGATAATCAACCCAGTTATTGAGTACCCACTGGGTGTCATCTTTATTGTCTCACCTAATCTTCAAAAGTACTCCTGGTGTGGTGCTGTAGGATCAGCACTAGACTTTAAACCACAAAGTCAGCAGTAAAAACCCACCAACAGCTCCTCCGAAACCCTATACAGGATAGCTATGAGTAGGAGATGACTTGATGGCACTTAACAACAGTAACAACAATAAATTATGTATTTAAGTTTATATTACAGACAAAGAAACAATGACTCAGAGTTTAAGGAACCTGATTAAGCATAAAACAAGAGAAAGAACAAGGGAGAAGCCAAAATAATAATGTTGTTGTTAAGTGTGGTCCAGTGTTTATCCTACAATGCCACATCAGGATTCCAAAATAAAAATATTTTTCATGTAAATAACATTTTGCTGTTTACAAAGCATATTCACACAGTTTCTTTTCATGCTAAAGATAACTGTTTTATCAATGAGAAATGGAGATTTTCAAAGACAGTTTCTTGAGTAACTTCATTTGAAACTGTTAGGTCAACACTTGAGTCTAAAGCCATCTTTCTCCCAAAATACTAGCTTCCTCAATGTTCCCTGTAATTGGCAAGTTCCTTACTTCTTTAGAGTGTACTGACTCATCCCTTCTTAAGAAACTAATCATTAAAAACCATGTCTGAAATCTCACCTTTGGGAAGACAAGGAGGGGCAGGGAAATCAGAAAAGCAGATAATCTATATGAAGACGCTTTTTTTTTTTCTCTTCACAGAGAACCTATCCATATTAATGTTAGCCTTCTAAGGGATGCAAATATGATTTGCAAACCTGGCTTGATACTAAGTCCCTAGAAATAAGTTTACTCTAAAAAGTAACTGTCCTTTGTGCCCATTGACTTGATGTTGCATGGAAAACATTCTAATTTATATCTCTTTCCCACAAAGAACACACAGAACTGTTACCTTAAGTGAACCTTTCCAACTTCTTAGCCAGCTCTAATCTGTTATCTTCAGATAAGAAAATATCTAGAAAGTTATGAAGAAAAGGTCACAACATATTTATTATCCTATCCATTATCTAACATTTTCATCCTCTCGGTCCAGAAAGTTGTGTGACTGTTTCCTTCAAGACTATATGTGCTAAGGGGAGGGAAAGACGTTATTTTTACCACAATAAACATGAAAGTGAAAATCTTGAGCATGCTGGCACTGGGTCTCTGGCTTTATCTTCAGATAAAAACCTGTATAATGAGTTGTTTTCTACCTGCTTTACATATATTTCCCCCCCAGTTCACCAAAATGATTGTCTTCAGAACCCATGTCCTTTATTCCTTTTCAGTCTTCCCTGCAATTGCGTTCCCTAAATAAATATAGGGGCTGAGTTACAATTAAAAATAATGAGACTCTACTGGGCAAATGTCCTTGCATGCAATAAAAGGGTGCGGGTTAGTTGCAGAAGCAGAGGTTTCCCTTCCTCCCTCCCTCCCCATTTTGCTTCATTTTGATTGGTGGATTGACACTTTAAATAAAGGTTTCAGATCTTCCCTGAATGAGAGGTACAGCGCAAGTCCCAGGCACAGTCCAGAAAAATTCAAATCTTCTTTTCTTAGCCTTATTTTGGTTGGCATCACCAGGCCTCGAGAGCACAGCACATGTCAGCATTAAAGGTAAAATGTGATTTTATGATTTACATGTGCTTCCTGTAAGTTTTCTTTCCAGGCAGATTTTATAAAAAGGATTTATCTTCATATATCACCCAAAGCTGAATTCTAGTTTATTATAAACCATTTACCTGTCCCAGAGCAGACATGTCTAATAACTTTCCAGCTAAGCAAAAAAGATTTATCTGTAAATTTTTTAACTATTTCTGATTATTAGTGATAGTGCCTAATTTAGAAAAATTTTAGAAGAACGTAAATATCTTGGCTATTCAAATTTCCATTGATGTAAAAATAAAGAGTCTTTGAGCTGAAGGACAAATTTAAGAAGTTAATTTGTTTTGGAAATTGAGAAACATCAACTTTGAGACAGATTTTCCACTAGTGTAAAAGAAAATTAAAATATTCAACTTATTTTTAAAAGATAGATTTTTGGCATGTCCATATGGGTAACCTAAATATAAAATGATATACTATATATGTCTGCAAATAAAGATTTTTCTGTAAAGTGATTGTTGGTTGTATCACACTATGGACTTCAAAATTTGATCAGAGGAAAAACAAAATATAAATTCCTATGAATTATACTAAATGAACTAATGTCTCATTTAGTGGAAAGGATTTTAAAATGTGTGATCTATTCTGCTATTTTAAACACAGTATTTAAAAAATATTTACAAAACATCAGCAACTTGAAAGCTTAGTTAAGAAGCTTAGGGGCAATGAGCTTATTTTAATGGTGATGGAATAGTTTAGAAAAGGATAGTGAGAATGGGTGCTTGAAGATTCCAATGTCACTGAATTGTACGTGTAGAAATTGCTAAATTAAATGTATGTTCTGTTGTGTATATTTTCATCAAAAAAATAATAAATAAAGGAATATGCATGAGATTATTCCTATATTTTCATTTAGGTTGTAGCTCCATAAACAAAAGACTTTGCTATTTTTCAATTGCTTATTAATTAAATTGTCAATTAATTCCAAATAAACTGACCAGTTCCGCAGCAACAAAATCAAATCAATTGTTCAACAATGGATGTAGTTGGTTACACGTTGGTCCTCTAAACTCAAAGTCAACTGTCAAAACGCAGAACCACTCCTCAGATAAAGATGAGGCAATCAGCTCCAGTAGATTTACAGCCTTGGCAACTCTAGGGAGCAGTTCTACTCTGATCTATGAGTCGGAATCAACTCAATGGCTATGGGTTTGGCTTGGGGTTTAGGTTGTTTCAGACACATTTAAAATACTATCTTTCAATTATCTCATGTACTTCTCCAACCCAATTCTGTTTTAGATCCCACTTTTCAAAATGAAGGACCTGATATTGATCATGTGCCTCTTAGCAGTGGGTTTTGCTGTGCCGGTAAGTCAGAGTTTTTTCGAGAGTGTGCCCTAGAAGAGGTTCCTGATGGTTAGACACCAGACAACACTGTAGGAACGGTGGCTGAGAGAGTCCATAATTTTAAATTAATCCAATGGCTACTTCCTATTGATTCTAAAGTCACAGTATGCTTATTTGAGGCCTTTTTCTACATAGATGCTCAGGCATCAATCTTATATTCCAAGAGCAACAAGTCAAGCCTAAATATATAATTTTTCTTCTCAAAAAGATATTTTAAATATTCCAGAAAAACATGTCAATACCTCATTCATAAAAGGTTTATGGGGTATACTCAATGCATAGTATAATTTTATTATCAATTACTTTCTACGGGGGGGGGAATTCATATTTTTGAGCAAGTTATTATCAACTACTTACTCAACTACTATGAAGTTATCTGTGCTATAAATGAAGGAAGGAAGACTTAAAATCCCTTGACGCTATATACTAAAAACATCCAAAGAACCAGATATCCTCTTTCATACCTTTTTCATTGGTATTTGTGCATATTCATCAAGCTTGGCTTAAGAAGAAATATAACTTAAACTCTAAAAAGTTAGTTTTAAATATAGCTATATTTTTAACAATTTTTAAATGAACACACTGAGAATAATAGTACTTGATGCTAGAATTTTTTTTCTTCTTTTAAACTTTTTATTGTGAACTGGATGGAGGTTTACAGAGTAAATCAGTTTTCCATTAAATAATTCAAACAGAATATTTTTTATTTAATAAAAATACTTTTGATATGATAACCCCAAACTGTAAACTCAGGTCAACATTTTACACATTTAGTGAAAGATAATTATCTTTCACTAAAGATAATAGAGGATTTGTTGAATTTATTTGAATGGAAAGTAAGTTCAATTTCTGCATATGATTTTGTTTAATACCGTGATCCCATGCCACATTCTGTAAGCTAGAAGTATGGAAATTTGTAAAAAGCATGTGAAATTCAGCTCAGCTTTGTCCCCTTTGTTTCTTATATGTATTTTTTAAAATAATATGAAGCACTTTTTATCTACTTTTAGTTTGTATTTCTTTACTTCTCATTTATTTTGATTCTAAAGCAGCATACCATCAATATGCAATCAAAGAGTAGATGATTCATGTGGAAATGAAATTATTAAATAGTATGTTAATTCTCCAGATAATTTAAATTGTACTTCATTCTTTCTGCCCAGAAATTCAAGTCAACTGGATAGTATACTAAATGGTATTCTCAATATTCCCAGTGCTCATTTAAGGAAGCTTCTCACCAAAAGATACTCAACATGATTCTTATTTCCATTTAGATGTTTCCTCAGCAACCTGGAACCCCCGGCATGGCCAGTTTGAGCCTTGAGGTATGTATTGTCAGGTGGTTGCATAGAATCTTGACGTTGGTATGTTCCTAAGGAGAGAAAAAAACATGATGGGCTCAGTTCTCCTCAGAAGTCTGTAGCTGTCATCCTGTGCAGGTTTGGAGAACCTTATGACATTTATTAGAGTCTCATCTTATCATTTTACTGCAATTTTAAACTCAGGTGTTTTAAATCTTTAAAATGTCATCTATTTGTGAAATAAAATAATACAAGTAATTAATGCCTTGTTGTTGTTAAGTGATGTCTAGTCGGTTCCGACTCATAGCTACCCTGTATAGGGGTTTCCAAGGAGCAGTTGGTAAATTTGAACCTAATATACTTTAATATGGACTCCTGGTGTGGCGCTGTAGGATCAGGACTGTACTGTGAACCATAAGGTGGCAGTTCAAATTCATCAATTGCTCCTCAGAAGCCCTAGAGAGGTCGCTATGAGTCGGAATTTCACAGCAACATACTTTAATATGAAGTCCCTACACGGCGCTGTAGGATAAGCATTGGACTGCTAACATTTCAAATCCACCAACCACACTGTGGAAGAAAGATGGAGGCTCTTGTAAAGATTTACAGTCTCAGAAATCCTATATAGGGTTGCTATGGGTGGAAATTAACTTGACGGCAGTAAGTTTGGTTTGAAGGCTTTGGAATCCATTAATATATGCTGTATGTTGTTGTTTTAAATGTCATAGAGTCAGTTCTGGTTCATAGCGACCCTGCATAGCGTTACTGAGGAGCGGCTGGTAAGCTTGAACTGCCTATCTTGCTGTTAGCAGTCTGGTGTTTATCCTACAGCGCCACACCAGGACTCCATATATTATATACGTTAGTATAATGACTACCTTAATAGGACTAACTGCTGGTGCTGTTGTTGTTGCCCTGTGCCTTTGAGTCAGTTCCAACTCACAGACCTCGTATAGGGTTTCTAAGAACTGCTGATGGGTTTGAATTTCTGACCTTGCTGTTACCAGGCCAGTGCTTTCCTACAGCGCCACACCATCGCTCCATTACTACATTAATTAAAATATGTTTCTGTTGTCACAAATGGTTTCTATGTAATTACTTCTCCTTATAATAATGTATATATAAAAGTTACCCAGAAGAATATTTATCTGAATAAAGTTTATTTATAAGGATTCCTATAAAGAGCTTTAACTTTGTACTATAATCCCTGCTACATAGCTTATGTTTGTCTTATTGTAGTTATATTGATATGCATTGTTTCAAAAACCCAGTGAAGTGAAAATTTTTGACAACTATCAATAGAAAATATTGACAGCTATGAAGAAAAAAATAGATATGATTACAAATTTTTCACAATAACTTGCAAAATTTTTTCTGCATCATGATTGTCAGAGAGTAGTCAGAACTATAAGCTAGATGCTTATTTCAGATGAAAATTAATTTCACTGGGGCTTTTTTCTTACTTTGTAGCTTAAACTCAGTCCAAAGCACTCTAAATCTCTTCCCATTAAAAATGAAATTGACTTTCTATTGAATTGGTGGTTTTCTTGACAATCTATTCAGATTATTTATCATTTTTCCTGATGCTTTTGTATTTACTATTTTGAGGACCATTTTATTTGGGAAGAAGGTGGAGATTGTTTTATCTGTAGGTTGTTGTTTTTTTTTTAATTTCTCTTTGGGCTAAATTTGTAAAAGACAAATTCTGTTTAATTGAAGGGAAACAGAATCACTGAAGCAATGTTTTTGCAATCACATTTATACTGCAGTGTATTTTATTCAAATTGACCCACTCCAAAGTTTGTACTAATAATGTCATTTGTTAATAGGTCAGTGAAGAGTCACAACAGAAAAGAAAACACTAACCTGCTTTTTTTCTTGATAGACAATGAGACAGTTGGGAAGTTTGCAGGGATTAAACATGCTTCCTCAGGTAACCATTATTTTCAAATACCTCTAATTACAAATATTCAAAGTGGTGGTGGAAATGATATTAGCAGCATTATAATTAAAATGTGTTTGTTAACAGACAATATCCTAAACACTGAAAGAGCAAATGAAGGAATGCGATTGTCTAGAACAAAATAACATTTTGGGGTAAAGTGGCAGAGAAAAATTAAAACTATATTACATTTCATTTAATAAAAAAATCCTTTCTTGGATTATCAATGCTATTCTCTTATCTAAAATATAAGTACTTAAAAAGCTAGACAAGTTTATGGGTATATTGCAATCTTGTTCAGAATAAAATATTTGTTGTGGTGGTGGTGATGGTTAAGTGCTATCTAGTCTTTTCCTACTCATACTGACCTTGTAGACAGTTTCCAAGGAGCAGCTAATGAGTTTGAACCACGGACGTTGCAGTTCAAACCGACCTTGTAGTTGAGTGCTTATCTTACAGTACCACAGCAGGACTCCAAAATATAGGACTTTTTAAAAAGAGCCTTTGCCTATTTATGTAAAATTAACCAATCATACTTTTGATTTTCCTATCTCGAAACTTTCTATAGATGTTAGAGAAAACAACACTGTATTTAAGACAATATTAAAATATAAGCATGTCTTTTTTTTTTCTTTCTTTCTTTCTGTTTTTCCTCCATCTTTAGTATTCTAGATTTGGCTTTGGGAAATCTTTTAATTCTCTTTGGATGCATGGTCTCCTCCCACCACATTCCTCTTTCCCATGGATGCGACCAAGGGAACATGAAACTCAACAGGTATAGTTGCATCAATAATTGAAACTTTAGACTTTAAAATCTCCCCCTATTTGCTTTGTCTATATTGGTGATTCACCTTCCACCCTGGAGAACCCAGGTTCAATTCCTGACAAATGTATTCCATGCATAGCCACCACCTGCCCATCAGTGGAGGTCTGTGTGTTGCTATGATGCTGAACAGGTTCAACAAGCTTCCAGACTAAGACAGACTAGAAAGAAAGGCCTAGTGACCTGCCTCTGAAAATCAGTCAGTGAAAGCTCTATGGATAATAAAAGCCTGATCGATCCACTGCCAACTAAGGCAATAGCACCTGAGTGACCTTTTGTTTGTTGTCCATGGGGCCTTCATGAGTTGGGGCCAACTCTATGGCATTGTTATGTGTTATAGCTATGTTGTCATATATTAGAATGTTGTTGTTGTTGTTATGTGCCATGGAGTCGGTTCCAACTCATAGTGACCCTGCACAGGGTTTCCGAGGCTGTAAATCTTTACGGGAGCAGAACGCCTCAGCTTTGTCCTGCGGAGCAGCTGGTAGTTTCGAACTGCTGACCTTGTGGTTCGTAGCCCGATTCGTAACCACTACGCTAAATAGACAGGTAATAATAGTAATTCACAGAAAACAATTCAAATACCAAATAATCAAAACCTGTAACTGGGGGACAATGACATACCAAATAATTAGAATACAGTGAAAAAAGTTGTAAAATAGAGACACATACAGTCAGATATGGAAGAAAATAAGGGGAAATGGTAAATTCTATCAGGTAGTTCCCATCTTCATGAGCAGGGGTACTCCTAAGGAGGTCAGGGAGGTGGGCATCTGAAGACCTCCCCAAACTCCAACCTTCCACCTTTTCATTAATAGCCATGCATGGTTCCTGGGACTCTCCAAATAACACAGATTCTGAGTACATTGATATTTTCTATGCAAATGCAGCTCCAAGACAAGTCCCTTAGCCCAGCTTTCATGTAAAAATCACCCCAATCCCTTTTGATTTAAACATTCTCGATACCACACACACACACTTCCATGAGCCATCCCTTCCTGTTTTTTATTTTGTCTTTTCAAATTTCTCTGCAGTATGAGTATTCTTTGCCTGTTCATCCCCCACCTCTACCATCACAGCAGTCCTTGCAGCCTCAACAACCTGGACAGAAACCTTTCGCTCAGCCCACACCTGCAACTGCCATCCAAGGCACAATCCAGAACGGAGGGCCACAACCTCCAATTCACCAGGGACAGCCTCCCTTGCAGCAATCTGAGGGACCAGTGGTTCAACAACAGGTAGCCCCATCAGAAATGCCACCAAAACCTGAGGTAATTACTTTCTCTAATTGCAGGTCAGGATACCCACTAACTTCATGAAAGAAACACAATTTTCAGGATACATTCAAATAAATACAACCCTCAGGCATAACGCACAAAATACAAATATGTTCTTAATCAGTCTGACATACCTGGGACTTATTTTTTGTGTACCAAACCCATTCCCCTCGAGTCCATTCCAACTCATAGTGACCCTTAAGGTTCTTGAGGTTGTAACTCTTTACAGAGCTGAAAGCCTCATCTTTCACCTGCAGAGAGGCTGGTGGGTTTGAACTGCTGACCTTGCAACTAGCAGTCCAGTGCTTATCCCACATAAATATTCATTCTGTCCTCAGTCATAGAAGATGAGACATGGATTCTAAAATAGTCTTTCTTTAGCTATAAAACTTGGTTTCTGAGTTGCAGAAGAGGCTAACTTTCAGAGTATAGAGAGACTAGAGACAGCCCGGCTTCCTATTATTGGTCTCTTTCAGTGTTGAAAAAATGGAGAAAAATGATTGCTACCCCAGTATAGCAACTAGTAATTTGCATTATTATCTCTCTGCCGGACCACAGAAGAGACAATCATGCAGAAAGTACTTTGTAAAAATGCAGAGAAAAGAACAATGCACATCAAAAGGAAGTACCTCCTAGACAGTCTGCTGTAGACATTAACATTCCCCTGTATCATCGCGACTGCTGCCGCTGTTGCTGCTACGTGCCACCAAGTCAGTTCCAATTCATTGCAACCTGCAGATCCACTGGTGGGCACAAACTGCAGACCTTGTGGTTAGCACCGGAAACCACTGCACTACCTAAAACCCTGTAAGGGTGGATTCATTCCACTACACTCCCAATAACCCTGTAAAGGTAGATATCACCCATTAATACTACCTGTAACTCTCTACAGGTAGATATCATCACCCTTTTTATCAAGGATGACATTGAAACTTAGAGAGGTTACAAAAATATTCAGGGTTACACAAAAATTTAGTTACAGAACCAGGATTCAAGTCTTGTATGTTCCAATTACAAAGTTTAAGTTTTTCTATTCAACAGTGATGTGGTTGTTGTTGTTAAGTGATGTCAAGTCAGTTCTGACCCTTAGTGACCCTGTATTGGGTTTCCAAGAAGTTTGAACCACTGACCTTAAGGTTCAAATCAACTTTGCAGTTCAGCGCATTAGTCCACAGCATGCCTTATTTCCCTGAGTCATGTCAGTAACTAAAAAGGAATTGTACACTTAAGTTATAACTCTAGTGACTTACCCTAAAAACATTCAAAGAAAGCAAATGGGGAAACTCACTCCAGATTTTATTATAACTTTGTTATAATTATAAAACAAAATAAGAGTATGTTCGGTTCACTTTGTCTCTGTTGGTAATTTTTAATATTTGTCTGTGATGTAGTTACCAGGAATGGATTTTGCTGGCCCACAAGGTCCATCAGTAAGTACAGATCTCAACACTTTTTTGGAAAAAGATATCTATGCTTCAGGAAAATAATGACATTTTTTAATTATTCCGTTTTTGAAGTATAATGGATTTCTTTGCTTTTTAAGAATCAAATACTTTTTTTTCATACTAATCATCTGAAAATGTCTTTCCTACAACTCTTAGAAGTTAGCATAATGGTGATTTGCAATTGTTATTACAAAGATGAATAATTTAATCAATTTTCTACCACTTAAAGATTTTCCAAATTGCCCGTTTGATATCTCAAGGACCAGTGCCACAAAATAAGCAATCTCCAGTAAGTTTTGTCACACCAATTCTCTGTCCACAATTTACTTAATAGTTTTTCCCCTGAAAAATGCATTTTATGATGACTATTATCTTTATATTTAGCTTTATCCAGGAATGTTTTACATGCCCTATGGAGCAAATCAATTGGTAAGTGTATATTCTATTATAGTTTGTTGCTAAGTGCTGTGGAGTCAGTTCTGACTCATAACGACCCTGTATAGGATTTTCAAGAGCAGTTGGTGGATTTGAACTGCCAACCTTGTGGTTTGCAATCCATTGTTTTAAATTGATGTTTTCTTAAGAGCTAAAATTATAAAATCCAGACTTCACACAATGTATCACAAATAAATATACCTAAATTAGCAACTGAAATGACAAGGAGGTAGTGTTCCTATTTGAATTATATAAATTGGCTACATTTATTCAATAATCATTCACTTCTCTGTTCTGCCTCTGGAACATGCATTAATAATTAAGGATCAAGGAGAAACTGAATGCATTTTAACTTGTCTTAAGTAGCTATGAAGGAAATAGAAGGCAACTGGTTCAAAATATGTTGCACTGTTTCTTTTTTAACAGAATGCACCTGCCAGATTGGGCATCATGAGCTCAGAAGAAATGGCCGTGAGTAATATCTTCAAACTCTTTTTCTTATAATAATGGCCAGAGAAGGACACTCACAGATTTCTGGATGCAAGCGACATTTGCCATGAATGTAGCCAAATATAGAGCAGATTTTTCCACTCCAGAATCAAAACTTTGATTCCAAAGCAGCATCCCAAGATTTCTGTATAGTCAGAAATCTTTGGATGCTGAGTGACAACCATTCTTGAACATAAATTTAAATTTGAAAAGCGCCTATTGTACTGTGGACAATAGATATAAGAAGAAAGTCCCAAGATTCTTTTCTTTAGAAATAGTCTCTCATAAGTAGGTTTCAGCCTGGTAGATTAAGAATAGTAATGCCCATTAGTTGGTAGTCCTTTGTCCTTCATTATTTTATGCTGACTAGAAGTAAAGTTGCATGACTCGTTTTGCTCCATATCTTGTATATGATCATAAGAGAAAACTCTCTTGATCACCCATCATTACTGAACTATAAATGCTTCAAACCAAAAAAGATTCTCATTCCCTCTCAGATGACTTAACCCCTCAAAACAACAGCTCCAACAGCATTGCAAGTAACGCAGACCTCCAAATTTAGAAATCTAGCCAATTGAAATTAATCAAATTTAAAATTTGAGTATTTTAACATTCAAGATGCATGATAAGTCATTGATGTCATTTTGTTAAGTCAATTCTGACTCTTAGTGACCCTGTATAGCTGGATGTGTTTGAACTGCCCACCTTTTGGTTCATAGCCCAGTGCAGATCCTACAGCGCCACCTCAGTGCATATTACCAATTTCAAATTTGAGATCAGTACACTCACACAACTTTGCTTTTTCCTTAGCAACTTCTGCCTGTTACATCTGTTAGAGCACAAACAAAACAAAGGAAAAACCATACTAAATTAACAAGCCACTATCAGTTAAAAATCCTATCAGTGAATAAATACACACATATACTATCACTGAAAAAATAACACATCTCAACATTTTTGTATTTTAGATACATGTTGCTGTTGTTAAGTGCCATCTAATTGGTTTGAACTGCCAACCTTGTGGTTAGAAGACCAGTACTTATCCTACCGCACCACACCATGACTTAGAAAGATACTATTCAGACAGGATAAATAAGATTCCTATTTTCAATATGCTTAACCTCATCCAGGAGTCCAGGTGTGGCACTGTAGGATAAGCACTGGACTACCAAACACAACATCACCAGTTCAAACCCACCAGCCACTCCTCAGAAGCCCTATATGAGGTTACTATGAGTCAGAACCAATTTGTTGGCACCTAACAACAGTCTAAGCCATGGAAAAGATAAATACAAGAGCAAATAGTGTCAAAATCATGTGGTCTGGTTAACAATAAAGCTAAGAGAAAGAGGGGTAGTTGGGCCAGCACAGTGAGATTCCTGGAAGACAGGATGCAAACAATGTGATTTGAAGAGTGAAGCACTAGAAGAGAGTTGTTTTTGTTGTTGTTAAGTACCATGGAGTCAGTTCTGACTCGTAGTGACCCTGTACAGGGTTTCCAAGGCTGGAAATCTTTACAGGAGCAAAAAGCCTCATCTTTCTCCTGTGAATGGCTGGTAGTTTCAAACTGCTGACCTTGAAGTTAGTAGCCCAATTCATAACCACTATGCTGCCAGAGCTCCTAGAAGCAGTAGGACAAAAGTATTTTTATCTACTTTCATCTGCTAACACACTTGAATGGGGCTTAGTTTGAGAGATACTGAGAAATGCCATTGACAAGGTCCTCTAAAGCACTGCTCAACAAATATAGTCATAGATTTCAATTTGTTTTATGGTTGCATTACCCATTTCAACTGCTAAATATTTTCCTAAAGTTAAAGTCACACTAACTTTTCCCTGAAGTCTTGATTCTTACTCCATTGCCTCCTTGTTCCCCTTCCCTATATACCAAGCAAATGAGGTTAAGAATCGTGACCTCTCAACACCCATACAAGTATAGAATCCTCTCCATTTCATTTCAAAGTCGATTTAAGGTGAAATGTGCTAGCATGAAGCTGTCAGACAATTCCTTGGTGTTACCAGAATTTATGGCTTCTCAGTGAATCTGACAAGCTATAATATATGATAATTTCTTCTTTGGTGAATGGCTTTTTTCTAGGGAGGCAGAGGAGGCCCTATGGCCTTTGGATCTATGTTCCCAGGATTTGAAGGCATGAGACCTGGCTTTGGAGGAATGCCCCCCAATCAAGGCAAGGGTGGTGACTTTACCCTGGAATTCGACTCCCCAGTCGCTGCAACCAAAGGTCCTGAGAAAGGAGAAGGAGGTGCGCAAGGCTCCCCCTTGCCAGAAACCAATTTAGCCAATCCAGAAAACCCAGCTCTTCTTCTAGAGGTATCACCTGGTGCCCATGGAGGGCTTCTTGCATTTCCTAAAGGCAACATTCCCAGCCTGGCAAGGGGCCCTGCAGGGCAGAGCAGGGGACACTTTGGGGTCACTCCAGCAGCTGCTGACCCACTGGTGACCCCCGGATTAGCTGATGCTTATGAGACCTATGGTGCTGATGTGACTACACCCCTGGGTCTGCAGGGAGAAACGACCATGGATACCACAATGACCCCAGACACTCAGCAAACATCGATGCAGGGAAACAAGGCCCAGCAACCCCAGATTATGCACAATGCTTGGCCTTTCCAAGAGCCCTAAAAGCCTTGAGATATTAGCTGCATATTGTATCCACAAGCTTTTCGGCTTTGTCCCCATAGTGTGTCTTTTGGTTAAAACATTTATTAAATTTCTGCAGCAAAGATATTAACAGCACCAAGCATGCGTTAGTAAATAAAAGTGGTTAACAATAGTGTAGGCCTCCTTCTTGCTTTTATTCTTTTGTCAAAATAAATGTGTAGGCTGTCTTTGTGACTTAAAGATACTATTAGTAACATCAAAGCAAGTGTAAAGGTCTCTAAATTTGATCATTACTGTTGTCTAGCTGTTAAGAGTATAGATTTTATCTTATTAGCATGCCACTATTATATCCAGGAAATGTGACACTGCTTTGGAAAGTTTTCTCTAAGCAAAGTCACATATTCTCAGAATTTTAAGGTATTTCATTGGAACTCTATTAAGTGGGGATTGGTGGAGAGCACTTACCTGGTATTACTGCGTTTGGTATATTGGATTTTAAAGTTGCACTTGTAGAGTATTGTATTTAATCTAGTAAAAATCATTTAACCTATTTTAAATAAAGAATTCTCACTGAAAATATCAGGAGTTGTATGCTTATTATTTATATAGATATATGGTTAATGAAAATTATTCCCATGTTTACTATGCTTTTACTCATTTTATCAATTCATTCATTCTTTCATCAAAACTTTATTGCACCCATTGTTGTTGCCACAGTGTAAGTCATTTCATTGTTTTTGTTTTTGTTTTTTTCTTTTTCACTGGTCCTCCATTTTACCAAGCATGATGGCCATCTCTAGGGACTGGTCCCTCCTAATAATATGTCCAAAGTATGAGAGATGAAATCTGGTCATCCTGGCTCTAAGGAGCATTCCAGCTACTTCTTGCAACACAGATTTGTTTGTTTTTCTGACAATCGATGGAACTTTTAATATTCTCTTCCAACACCATAATGCAAATCCATTGATTCTTCTACAGTCAGACAAACTATCTTATAAAGCATTTAAAGCACTTACAGGAGGAGACCTCCAAGAGGAGGAAACACAGGAAGAATCTCTCTGAATCATGTGGGTGTCAAGTAAGAATTAGGTCAAACCTGTGATCCAGAAAATAATCCCTGCTTGTCACCAAGACTAGGTATATATTAGACAGGGCTATGTGTCTAACTTAAGAAGGTTCCAAGCTTAGATCTGATCACCCCTGAAAAGTTGCCACCTACTCCACTGTCCCTCTACCACCAGCAGCCCAGGTCTTCTATATTCTTTCTAAGTCCCTGACCAATCAGGTATTGACTCTAAGTTAGTACAGATTGATATCTCAGGCCAGCACTCCAAAAGCAGACAACCAGATGTACCATTTAAAGTTCTAACCATTGAATGGGATTGTTGTGCATTGAATGTCCACTGAACCAGATTTCCCTTTATACTTCTATGGAAGTTTTGGGGAAGCAACCAAGAAAAGAGCCCTGAGATTCTACCTGGCCCAGGGTATACCAGGAGCCTTAGCAGGAATATATGCCCACCATCTATTCTTTCCCTCTCTTCAGGTAGTCTTCTGCTTATCCATATCCCATTGACTAGCACTTAAGGAGACATGCAGGAGATAAAAAAATTCAGTTTACCACCCCCTACTGGTTCTAGCAAAAGGGAGCAGATGAGCGAATGTCCTCCATAGTATACAGCAGATACACACTGAGATCTACTGTAGGACTTCCAACAGTACCCTAAAAAGTAGTATGGTGTGTTGTTGTAGGATAGACACTCGACCATCAGGTCAGTTTGAACCTCAAGATCTGTGGTTCAAACTCACCAGCCACTCCACGGAAACCCTATACAGAGTCACTAAGAGTCAGAACCAACTCAACAGCACTTAACAGCACCAAAAGAAATACAGACAGATCTAGATTCTAACTTTGGCAATACACCTTACCATCTATGAGACTTTAGATGTGAGACTTAACTCTCTGAATCTGTGTTTTCTTTCCATAATGGGGCTAAGGTTATTGTGAAAACTAAATGAGATAAAGTTCACAGATATTGCTGAATCATAGCCATTTCTTTCTTTGCCAATTCTTTTTCTCATAAAGAAAACTTAGCAAAACATCAACAGTAACAAATGAAGAATGGAATTTTTCCAGTTAGCTAATGAATTTATGGTTTTCCTGTCACATTCTACACACTGCCTTCTGGTCCTTCTTTCTAATGCAGAGCATGTGTTTGTGAGACTACTATACTGGCTCCCTTGGTGAATGCTGTCCAAACAGTGACCCAGAGTTGTCCTCTGCTATTCGAGGTCTATAAGGAACCCTGGTAGCATACTGGTTATGAATCGGGCTGCGAACCGCAAGGTCAGCAGTTCGAAACTACCAGCTGCTCTGCGGGAGAAAATGAGGCTCTCTACTCCCGTAAAGATTTACAGTCTCGGAAACCCTGTGCAGGGTCGCTATGAGTCGGAACTGACTCCACGGCACATAACAACAACATTCGAGGCCTATGGTTATGAATGCGGCTGCTAACCTCACGGTCAGCAGTTTAAAACTACCAGCTGTTCCATGAGAGAAAGATGAAGCTTTCTGCTCCTGTAAAGATTTACAGCCTCAGAAACCCTATACAGGGTTGCTATGAGTCGGAACCTCTTCTACAACACATAACCACCACCATTAGAGGCCTGAGTTCTTGATAGTGGTCACAGTTAGGTCAACTTTGGTGCAGGGAACATTATGTTTTCGAGCCCATGAGTAATCCTGTCACCATGGTCATTTTGAAATTGGCCCACAGAACAAACACCAACAGAGCTGGGGAAAGAGAGCTAAATGTTAGCTACAGGTCATCTTGATTATTGAGAATTCCCTCCACTGTGATTCCCTTTCAATAGGCATTTGCATGAGATAGGAATATCTTTATACAATATCCCCTTCTGAGAGGTCTCTCCAAGTAACTTGTCTTCTATGAGAATAAATCAAAATGTGCAGCTACTAGATTTCCAGTTCATGCATGCATGGATTTATCCCAAACAAAACAAATTTCTAAGATCAATGGATAGCTACAGACAAGTTCTCTCAGTAATACATCTTAGTCTCATTAGAGTGTGTTCAAAAAATAATGATTTTTTTGTTTTGTTTTGTTTTGGGGGGGGCGGGGAAACTATTTCAAGTCAGGACTAATATTAATTTTTAATAGAACTCAAATTAGTCTGAGTGGAGCTAACAAACCCAATGGTTGTGCGATCGCATCTCGGAGACCAGTAGCAGCACTTGCAGCATGACTGAAAACTGACCGAAGAGCAGATTACAGAATTCAAGAAGCTTTTTCACTATCTGACAAAGATGGTGATTGAACTATAACAACAAAGGAATCAGAGATGGTAATAAGGTCTCTTGGGCAGAATCCCATGGAAGCAGAATTACAGGATATGATTCATTAAGTAGACACTGATGGTAATGGCACAGTTGACTTACCGGAATTTCTGGCAAAGATGGCAAGAAAAATGAAAGACACAGACAGTGAAGAAGAAATTACAGAAGCATTCCATGTGTTTGATAAAGATGGCAATGGCTATGTTAGGGCAGCAGAACTTCTTCACGTGATGACAAACCTGGAGAGAAGTTAACAGACGAAGAGGTTGATGAAATGATCAGGGAAGCAAACATTGTTGGTGATGGTCAAGTAAACTATAAAGTGTTGTACAAATGATGACAGCAAAGTGAAGATAATTGTTTATTTGCCTTCCTTTGTAACTTATCTGTAAAAGGGTTCCCCTTACTGTCAAAAGAATACACAAACAAAACAATATAGGAAGATGGACTGTTACTACAAGAACAAGCAAGTTGCTTGCCCAGGAGACATCAAGGCAAGTGGTCCAGTCCCCTCAGCATAAACCCCCTTCCAAGAC